CACATTAGCGTTCATTTGTAGTTTTTTTCTTGTGAATTTAAGTAATATATACTTTATCTTTTAGCTCGGTTTTAGTCTCCTCCACAACTTTAGCTGCTAAATGATTAGCTACACTCTCCAGCTAGTTGATTACTTTCTCTGTCTGCGGTTTGCTGCTAGAAAGCTAGTAAACATTGAGATGTGTTGCATCTAGAAAGGATGTAAGCAAGATCCGTAAGATTGAATCAGTTAATTCTTGTCTGCGGTTTAATCACTAAAAGCAACCCATTTGACTTAAGAATACACATTTCATCCATAATTAATGAATACAAAGTAGGAGGATAGCAAGTTAAAACCATCCGGAACTTTAAAAGCAGTTGGGAAATCTGCTCAGTATTCAGACACACGTGTGTTTGTGTTCCAGACTGTTTTACACCGTGTCCTTGTTCATGTGCGCTGCAGTCAAAGGACGAGGACGCAAAACTGCCCCATCACGCACAAACTGTCTGAGTGAAGACGGAGGGGAATTGAAGGCCATGAATCCTAAAGGGAGCGAGAGAGAGCAGAGGATGGGAGATAAAAAGAGAAAGAGATGAGGGAGGGAGGGAAAGTAACAAAGAAGAAAAAAGAGGAGGAGGATAAATGAGACGGGGTTAGACGTGAGAGTCAGTTAGGGTTGCACCGCCTCCCATCTGCATTAAAGTCCCACCCATGCAAATTCTGCTGCAGTGGCAAAGCGATCAGACTGCAGTGAGGAGTTAAGAGACAGAAAAAGAAGGGTGGGGGGGCAGCAGGGAGGAAGGAAACGAGCAAATAGATGAGAATAGACAGAAAAGTGAAAAGTAGAAAGAAAAGATGGAGGAGACTTAAATGAGAGTGACGGGGAGAGTGTTAGAAGGAGTGTGACAGCCATCCCTATCTGGCCTTCTGTTCTGGAGAACTAATTTGAGGAAGGAAGCACCCTCGGGACGGGGGGGTTTGGGAGGGGGGAGGGGGGCTCGAGTGATCTGCTAGGATGAACAGGACGTTTTCAGCACAAATGCGGCGTGGCTTCCTGCCCCCGTATTGCCCCGCTTTAGCTCATCTGCACACATCCCGGAGGAAGAGGAGGAGGGGGGGAGGGGGGCATGTGGACCGGCGGCGGGACAGAGCGCAGGGGGAGAGATCGAGGAGGGGAGGGGGAGTAAAGGTGCCAGGGAAAGGATGCAGCGAGATGTCGACGGCGGGAGGGTGAGAGAAAGCCACTGCGGATTCTCGACAATCTGCCAAGTTATGAAACATTTTGTTACGTAAAGAGGGAGAGAAAAAAGAGGGAAAGTGGGGCAGGGGGATGAGTCTGTGAAAGTCTTCCTTCTGAGTTGATTTAGTTCATATTTTCTCGGTCACATAAGAACATTGTCAGAGCTGTCAAGCACGGGAAACATTCAATAGATGACGTCCAAAGTCTTGTTTCTCGCCTCTGCAGCTACGGATATTAGCCCCTAACATCACACGAGGGCTTTTTCCTGTCCTGAATTGGCCGTTATGGTCATTTGGGGTCGGCCATCAAAGGACAGGCTGAATGCCAGACTCTTTGTGTCCACTCAGGGAGGAGCGGGCAGGCACAGCTGGTTTAATAAAGGCTAACGTCCTTGTCTGTGTCAACTAGGAAAGATACACTAACCCAGACACACAGGACCCAAACATGCTGCCTGTAAATGGAACATTAAAGCCTTCATAAGCGGGCTGCAAGCTGCCACTGGTGCTGATCCAGAAACAGAGAGAGGGGAAAGGGGGAAGAGAGCGAGATATAGAGAGTCACACTCAAACAAGGCCATTTCACACTGACAGAACAAGATCAGAGAACAGATGAGATCAACAGCACATGAGATGCTCATCAATAACAGGCGACAAATTACGTCAAAATAACTTCAGTTGTTTAACGGGAATGTTTGATTCCGGATTGGTGTTTAGTCGCCCTGCCTGCAGTTGATAACAGTTAAGCTGGACCGACATCTTGAGGCTTAAAAGCTTCCAGTGATGAGCTGCAGAGGATCAGGATTGAAATACCATGAAGATTTGTTTACTGTACGACAGTGTGTTTCAGTTTAGGCAGCTTCAGATTGCATGGAACTGGATTACTCTGATATCTAAGTACAAAGAAAAGTATAAAATGGTAGATATAAGCCTCTATGAGTGTAAATGATCTGAGACAGACTACAGGAAACAGTTGTGGCAGTCTGCAGCATCATGATGATGTAGGTAAAGGCTGCGCCCACCCCCCACCCACTGAGACACCCTGCTGTAATAAAGCAATATTAATCAGGTTTATGTACTCTCTGGATTAGCTGTACTCAACAGTCTGAAGCTCAATCAACATATGAATGATGATCAGCTTCTTTCTTTATTTGCATGTTTGTTCATTCTGATCAAAGCTGGTTCATCTACACAGTTGAAGATAAAGATTAGACTATGCTAATATTAATATTATACTATTTGCAGAAGAAGATTGCTATAGTGGGTTGTAGGATTGTGTTGTTGATCTAAAAATGTCCAATATCTCAAGAGCATGGAATTAGCACATCCAACAGTCAACAAAAAAGAGAGATGTTAACATTTGTAAACTGCTAAACCTGTTTTTATCCGTTTCATTGGCATTCATACTTTCAAAATAACTTTTCACTGCAGTGATACAACCGTTTGCTTGAGGCTTCTTACAGTGTGGTCAAACAGCAATCTAATGGCACTATGAATCACATTTATATAACCATAATGCCAAATATTTTTCAAGCTATAACTAATATTGCAGTAAATAATTTAGTTGTTATTATTTATATAAAAGGAACTGAAAAGTTATAGCCATGAAAAAAGTAGATTTATGTAAAAGAAACTAACTTCTTAATTTGTTGATCACTTTATTGAAATTGAGGATTTAGCAATAAAGACAAATCTTTTAGGATGATGATGTCATCAGATATGACGAGGGAACTTTGAAGATTCATTCGAAGACTTATGTATGAGCATAGAATACAAAGATTGGTTTAGCCCAACTGATATGTTGCTCTACATCAATTCCTATGAATCACTTTTTTGAACACAGGAAAGGCGGTAACAATGATAGCCACTATACAGAGTCATGTAAGCATTTAGAGAACCAAAATGGGTTTGATAAATAAAATAAATATATATTCAGTACAAATATTAAGTGCTGTATTATAACTTTAAAGGTTTAATTATGCGATTCTATCTTGATTAAATAACATTACGAAGACCCTACAACAGACAGCAAAACTGACAGGCTGCAGTCCTCTCCCTGTCCTCCCTATCTCCCAGGACTTGACCCGGTGCGTGATCATCCGTGCGCTCACTGTCCCATAATGTCTGTCCTGGATCGCTGCCATGGCGATTCCATGCTCTGTCGTGTGTACTGTACCTCTATTTTCCACTGATGGTGTCAGATTCCACATCAATCCCTCTCCGTATCTTTCTGCTCTCCCTGCTGCTTCCATAGTCCAGAGACACATTATGAAATACCACGTACGCACGCACGCACGCACGCACGCACGCACGCACGCACGCACGCACGCACTCTGGTAGCCTCAGAGCTCATATGTGCATCACCTTCCTCGCCCTAAGCAATATGGATGGTTCAATATCATTTTGCCCGGTGTATAAATGTTTTCATTACCTGCAGGACTGAAAGAAAAATGGATTCTTCACCATGACCACCGAACAAACAAGTGGAAAATCATAGAGTATTATACAATAGTACAGCTAGGAGAATAGATGGTGTAAAGTCTATTATTGTTTCCATTCATAAAGCCAACAAGGTCACGTCTCCTCGCTTAAGGGTCATACAGAACACTGCATCCAATGCTGTCAACAATTCGTATCAGGTTTTCTATTGGCTATTCATCTCCACAGCGTACAAGCACAGGTTTTAGAGGTCAGTCAGGATTTCAATTGCCTTTCAAAGCACTTTTTTCTCCAAAAATAACTTACTGTGGCACTACAGAGCTATTTAATGGGGCGCTATTATGATTTTGTGGGGTTTTTCAGTGTGTTATTCAGGTTTTTATTGCATGTAAATGTTCTGCAAAGGCTTGAATCCGAGATCCCGGCCTGAATCGCCTCCATTGGACTCCTTTGTTTACTTCCGCTACATAGTGGCATCGCTACGTAACACTCACACTTCTATTGGGTAGCACTACAACACGTTGTACGTGATAGGCTAAGGGGTGGGACAGCTTGAAGTGGTTGACCAATCATAACAGAGCTGAGGCCTGTACTACGAAGCCAGTTCAACAGACCCTGGATATCTAACCCTAACAAGCGAGATCTCGCTAAGTGGTCCTACGATGGTTATCAACTCTGTAAATCAACCCAGGGTTTCTCCCTCCAGCTGAGAGCGCGTTCACTGGGGCGGGGTTAGCAAGATTTGACCAATCACAAACATGGACAAGCGTACTGACAGCGCAGTATCATACTTCCTGAATGAAAAGTAAACTATAATATTAGACAAATATGAAGACGTTAAACTTTAAACATCCATGACTTAAACACTTTATCCAGGATAAAAGCCACATAGCTGCACCTGCAAGGTGAATACAGCTGGTAAAAGAAAAAGTGTTTGAATGCGTACATTAACAGGTTTATGATATCACTGCCCCGTCCAAGGCACGAGTGGATCTGACTTTAATTACATTTGACTCAAGTGTTTCGTCAACTTAATGTGTTGCTTAAAATAATACTGCTGCATACAGTATGTGACACTGTAAGTATTGCACGGCCAGATACGGCTCAAGAAGCTGACTCAGATAAGGAAATATATGATACATTATGATGTGATATGAATGATGATGGGACACATCGACGTCTGCACTCACAGTGCCGCGGACTGTACGTAATGTTACTTTGATCCGGTTACTTATGTTGTGGCAGATATTTAAGTAAAGCTTTCTTAACATAATAGTATAATAGTTATAATAGTCAGATTGCTCTGAAGATGG